AAGGGCACTTTGTATACTCTTTGCATCTTTACCGGATCTTAGTGCCCTGTCTGCGTCTGAGATTCGGTGTCTGGCCTACCTCGACGACTGGCTGGAGTGGGCTCCCAGTCAGTCCGCTTGTCTGCTCGCCAGGGGATGGTTCTTTCCAGATCGCTGGGTTTGGTTTCCTGGTGATCTGGAGGTTTTACCTTCTGTTTCCGTCCCGGGTTCGGACCTGGGCCTTGTTTCAGGCTCTTGGGCCCCTCATTGTCTTCCCTCCAGAAGTGTTACTGTGGCTGTGGTCCCGCCTTTGGCTGTTCAGGAGGGGGTCCCGGGTTGCTCAGCGGTTGCTTGGGCGGTTGTGCGGGAGTTTGCACTTCGGCGTGCTTGTCTGCCCGCGGAGTCGGGTTTGGCTCCGGCGTCGGTTGGTTCCTACGGAGACTCCACTTCCGCCTCTTGCATTCCTTGGGTTCCTCTGGGGATCTGGTGTTGGTGCTGCGTCACCAGCTTCCTCTTTGGGGTTTTCGGGGTTCCGTGCCTTGGCGGCTCCCCGAGCCTTCGCTCGATGTGTTCACGGACGGGTCGTCTCTCGGCTGGGGCTTTGTGACCAGTGCTCACCAGGTCGGCCGAGGTTGATGGAGTCTGTCTGTCCGTCGGGCTCACAGCCCGGTTCAGGTGTTCATGGCTGTCTGGTTTGCGCTTCGGAGGGTTTGGGTCACTAGGTACTCTACCATTCAGCTCTGTTTGGACTGTTCTCCAGTGGTTCTTGCCGGAACCACAGGGGGTTTGGTTAACCGTGTGGTTCGTGTCCGGGGTGTGTCCTGCGTCCTGGTGGACAGCTGTCTCGGTTCATTCCTCTTCGTGGGTTGGCCAGTCGTCGCCGATGCGTTTTGTTGGCTCTGTTGGGCTTATGGACTCATGGCCATGGACGTCTTCGGGTCGGCGTGGTCTAGGCGTCGCCCGTTTTGTGGCGCCCTTCCCACCTGCGAGGTCTTCACGGTGGAGGCTTTCGGCAGGCCTGGTCGAGGTGGGGGGTACCTGTACCTCTTCTCCCGGTCCAGCTGTTGCTTCGGGTTCTGGCTCAGTTGCAGCCCATTCCCACGAGAACAGTCCTTATGGTTCCACTGTGGCCGGCCCGGCCTTCTTTTCAGACGCTGCTTGATAGGTGTCCGTACCCGGGGCGTTTTTCCTGAGGCTTCGCCTCTTTCAGCAGGCCGAATCGGTCCTGTCCGTGACTGGTTCGGCCTTCTCTTTGGCTCTTCGCGTCTGGTATTTTGACGCAGGTATCGCCATCTCTATGGTGTTCAGGTGGCTTTGTTGACGGTGTCCCACCTGCGAGCTTCGTCTTGGAGACTGTATGACGTTTATTACGTCTTCTCGCGTTTTGTTTCCCCTCCGGCCTGCTCATGAGTCGCCTGAGCCATCCTGGTCCTTGTTCAGGGTGCCTTCTTCTCTTCCCCTCAGTTTGTGGTAGCCCCTTCAGTTTCAATTTCCTCCTCTTTGGTACTGGTGGTAGCTTTATTGGTGTGCAGCCTTTCTCTGTCCTGGCGACGGTCGAGGCGGCTGCTTTCCGGAGGGGTTCTTGGGGTATTGGTACTTGTTTGGTTTGGCCGGGGGGTACGTCCTGTGTTGTCCAGTTGTGCTTTTTGCTGTTGCCGGCGTACCATGCCTGGGGATGCGCTGTGGTTGATCCGGTTCCTTCGTTCCCTATTTTCAGGGCTCGGGTCTCCCGGGTCGTCCGCAGTGTTTTCCTTCTTACTGCGGTCTGTCTTTGCGCCCGTGCTGTTCAGACGTTTGCAGCAATTGCTGCTGTGTTGGTGACGTCTCGGGCTCATTTCGGGCGCAGGGAATTGTGGGTCGCACAGGTTTTTGGCCGCCCATCCATGTGTGCGTCTGTTCTTGGGCGTTCTTGTTGCCTTGGGTCGCAGGTTTGCGTCCGGTTGTCTTGGCTTTGCGTTGCAGAGTTTGTGGCGGCCGCCTCCCGGGTTAGCCCTTTCTTTTCCTTCTCTTTGGGTATGAAGCTCCAGGGAGCCGTAGGGGCTCCCCACAGAAAACCAGCGTTGAATGTAATGAAACGCCATTTTCTGGGTGAGCCCCGGAGGCTCCCTGGAAACCCTCCCTCCCACCGGTCGGCGGTTTTTTCGCGTTGGTTGACGCTTAGCTTCCGAACTGGAGCTTGGCAGCCGGCGCGGTAGGTCCGGGGCTCCCCCCTCCCCCTCCCGGGGTGGGGAGGGCTGCGCGGACGATCGGCGCGGCAGTAAAGTGTGATGTTTGCTTGTTTGCTTGTTTCCTTGGGATTGTAGGGAGTTTTCTACCTCTCTGTTCGGTTTTTGTTGTAGTTTCTTACCATGTGGGGTTTGTTTTGTTACGCCTACCTTTCTGGGTGCCTAACCCCGGTCGATGGCAGATAAGGAAAACCCCCAACCATATGGGGTTTTCCAGGGCCATTGCTCCCTGAAACCTCTCTGAAGGGGCCAGGTTCTGGCGCTGGTCCCTGGTAGGTCTGAACTCCTTAGCTAATGTCCCGGTCTAACATAACACACATTAGCCCGATAAGCTCCAGGGAGCCTCCGGGGCTCACCCAGAAAATGGCGTTTCATTACATTCAACGCTGGTTTTTTGTGCAATATGTAACATGTAACTGGGATTACATGTTATGCTTGGTGCATCATTCATCACTCCTACTAGTTGATTTACAGTTCATTGTTGAGTATTCCATAGCGTGCTAGGACCCATTAGATGGATATCTCGTGCAGACCATGAGTCACAATAATGTGGCTGAAGAAATGATGACCAAACCACAACTCGGAAGATGGAGAAGCGACGACGTTTTTGTCTGTCCTGCTCCATTATCAAGTTGTGTCTTCTGAGTTGTGCTTTTGGTCATCATGGATATTTCATATTCTTTTGAGAAAAGGAGAAGTTGTAGGCATGGGTAGACAAGTTGTTTGCTTGTTGTGGTTTAGTATGTAATGGCTTAAATTACACTGTTGGAGTCATGGTGGTCAGGTGCATCGGGGTTGGTTGTGGTAACATCATAATGTAACCTTCACCTGTTACCATAACGTTGGTTATGGTAACATGATGTAACGTTGGTTACATCATGGTAACAATTATTTGCATTGTTACCTTTGGCAGGTCAGGGTGAATCTTGGAGGTCTATTGCTATTCTTTAAGGCATGGCTTAAACAACACAAAGCAAAGGGGATCTACCAAGGGCTACACCAAGAAGGGGCATTTTATTACATCTCTTGATTTTTAATGAGTAAAATATTTTTGCGAATATTGTATTCTAATTTTGTGTACGGTCACCCTGAGGTTTATATAATAATCTAATTGTTTTAAATTAAACTTAGGGTGGAGGATTCCCTTTAGATTAATTCCATAGCCTTAGGGTTAAATGTATTAAGTAAATTGTTAGGTGTTTTGATTTGAAGTTGTACAGACAGGAACATGCATGTGAGTTTGAGCACTTTAAGCATCATTACATCCAGCATATCATCCAAATGACAGGTGAAGGATTGAGTGCAAATTACAAAACAACTAAAGAATACCTTCAAATACTGATGGCAATCATCAAAGAAAGTGCTACTCTCTCACCTCTGTTACTCTCCCAAAAAAGTTTTCATTGTTGATGAAAAAAGTTTAAATTGGAAACGAATGTCATCAAGACGTGCATCTTCAGGGAAGAGAGGACAGCTACAGGCTTCAAAGCTGCTCAATATTGCTGACGTATAATGCTAGGTAGCAATGCTGCAGAAAATGTGAAGTTAAGGCCTTTATTGATGTGCCATTAAGATAATCCAAGGGTTCTGGAGAGCTGTTCCAAGCATAATTTCCCTAGTCATTTTGATAATCACGTAAGAAAACTTGGGTGACAAGGAATTTGTTTCTGGACTTGTTCATTACATATTTGTATGAGTTTGTGCAGGAGTACTTTGTCAAAAAACTTGGAGGTGATATCAGTATTGATCATGGATAAGGTCTCTAGGCAACTTGCATCTCTAGACTATCATACAAACAATGTATGGGGTGATGTTCTTGTCACCAAATACAACACCATTACATGAACCTATGGACCAAGATGATATTAAATTACCCAGAGTTTATTACATATTTTAAATAATGTCCCAGGTCAGTAATACAATAAACAATTCAAACAGACCAACAGTCTGAATGTTTGCATAATTATTATAATAGGAAGGCTACCAAAAACATTGAAATGTGATGCAATGAAGTACACAAGGTGACTATGAATGGAGTGTGTGTGGGGAAAGTAAGGCATAAATGCTATATTGATTTCAGAGGCTTTAAACAGCAGCAGAAATTCCTTGCAAAGTTGTTCCACTTTCTCAAAACATTAGATATGATGAAAGTTGATGTAGAGGATTTGGCTAAATTCCTTGAGTGCTATGGAGAGCCCACGAATCAAATAGACCTGCTTCAGCTGGCATAATATTGGAAATATGAGAAAGAAAGTATTATAATTCCTGTAGTGATTATATCAGCCAGCACCCATTACAGTTCCCTGTAATCGCCACTGCCCCTGTATTTACTTCACTCTGTGGTTTGTATCCTGGAATATGTTGGTCCTGGGAACACTTTTCTGGATCTGCTACCAACAAAACGTGTTCAGTATTTGAAATTGAAATTGAAATAAGTTTATTGAGCTATAAATACACACAAAGGGACAATGTAGCTCAAGCTATTCTCACTCCATTCAGTATAACATGTTTATATATAACTACACAGACACATCACAAACAATCAACATATTACCAAACATTCTGTGTGATAAACATACAGTATACACTTCTTATTTCTTGTTCAGTATTGTGATGGTGTAATCCAAAGTGCAGCTGTTGGTTTTACTGTGATTATTTATAAGTGAAGGAATTCTCATGATTGTATTAACATTTATTTTGGTTAGTTGTTAGTTCTTGTATCAGATAATTGTAATATTTTTGTATTTTTAAGTAAATTTTTGAAGTATTTATTAAACATTCATTGTTATATTGTAGGGGTATGACACCTGCTGCAGCTGACCTTAATCTCTTGGAAACTGCGAGAAGATGTGAATTATATGGTATTAAAATGCATCCTGCAAAGGTATGTATTTCAAGAGTTTGTTTTTAGGAAGGTTCTATTAGTCTTAAAACTTACAAATTTTGTCAATCTGTTTATTTTAAGTTTAAATGCCATCTGTTTGTATTTCAGATTTTAAGGGTTTCAACAGATTGGAAATTTTGATGTGCAATCCAATGTAAAATATTCATTACAGTGAGGTAGTTAGTAACCCTTGAATGCAGTGCAGCATTTCTGTTTTTTATATATTTTAATGATTTCTTCCACTTGGGCTGGACGGGAGAGCGATGGTCTCGCTTCACGCGTGTCGGCATTCAATCCCTGACCGTCCAGGTGGTTGGGCACTATTCTTTGCCCCCATCCCATCCCTAATCTTTATCCTGACCCCTTCCGTGTACAATATAGTCGTAATGGCTTGACGCTTTCCCTGATAATTTCCTTCCCTCCCTCTTAGAACTCCCTCTGTTTGGAGGAGGGGGGGACTCTCATGTAGAATCTTCCTGGATATTTTGGCCGTTTTCAATTTTGAGAGTTTGAAGTAATACATGAAATAATAGCTGATAAATTTTACATGCTGATTTGGCTGTCACTTACAAGAAGCAGTAACGAGTTGTTTGCACCAAAATATAATACCTGTACAGTATGAAGAAAGGATGATAAAGGTCTCATAAACCTAATCCAATTTGGAAAAATAGTAATAGAAAAATATAATTGTACACGAACTATAACAGCCGCCAGAGAATATATAGCGAGGAGGGTGAGACAGAGCAACACGACCAAGTTGTGGTGAAATTTAACTGTGATCAAAGGAAATTACCATTGGTGATAGATAGGGGCCTACCTTTACTTCATAATGTTTCTCTAGGGGACAGTTAGTGACAAATAGGGCACACCATTACTTCATAATATTTCACTGGGGGACAGTTAGTGGGTGCCTGACAGCTGGGTGGACAGCGCTTCGGATTCGTAGTCCTGAGGTCCCGGGTTCGATCCCCAGTGGAGGCGGAGACAAATAGGCATAATGTTTCTTTCACCCTCATGCCCCTGTTATCTAGCAGTAAATAGGTACCTGGTAAATAGGTACCAGCTGCTACGGGCTGCTTCCTGGGAGTGTGTAACAAAATGGAGGCCTGGTCGAGGACCGGACCAAGGGGACATTAAGCCCCGAAATCATCTCAAGATAACCTCAAGATTAGTGATTAGAAAAGGAGCCGGTCGGCCGAGCGGACAGCACGCTGGACTCGTGATCCTGTGGTCCTGGGTTTGATCCCAGGCGCCGGCGAGAAACAATGGGCAGAGTTTCTTTCACCATATGCCCCTGTTACCTATCAGTAAAATAGGTACCTGGGTGTTAGTCAGCTGTCACGGGCTGCCTCGTTGGGGTGGAGGCCTGGTCGCGGACCGGGCCGCGGGGACACTAAAAAGCCCCGAAATCATCTCAAGATAACCTCAAGGGTCATATCTAGAGAGGCTTCAAGAAGTTTTACTCAAGCCTGGCCTGGGGCCAGGCTGAACTTGTGATAACTTGGGCCAACAGGCTGTTGCTTGGAGCAGCCTGCAGACCCACATTTCCATTATAATCTGGTTGATCTGGCACTTCTTGCAGAAACTTAACTAATTGTTTTTTGAAGAAGTCCAACTGTGTTCTGGTAATATTTCTAATGCTTGCTGGGAGGGTATTGAACAGCCATGGACCTCTGATCTTAAATGAGATCTTAAGTGTGCGAGGTTCTACTCTATGCAGAATAAACCTCACTGGTTCCGTTTTGCATTTCCTTCCATATCTTTCACTTCAGTAAGTTATTCTATTGTGCAAATTTGGGACCTGGCTCTCCAGTATCTTCCAGGTATATATTATTTGATACCTCTCATCTCCTTTCCAGAGAGTACATTTTGAGCACTCTGAGACGGTAATGACAAACATGGTCCCACCATTACTTCATAATAATCGTAATAATGATGATTGTATAAACGTAATGATGTTGATAAGCGTTGTCCTTTTTTCATTTTCTGATGTGGGGTTGATGATCATATCTTCAGCTACATTATTACGATGAATCGTCTGCATCTCACATTACAGTAATCTGGGAACAAGACTGAAATTCACTAATGATAGAATAAGAATTTGCATTGCTGCCCCAGATATAACTGGGGCATTTCACCTTTTCAGTATATACTGTACTTGAGACTTTTTTCATTTACACAGTGAAATGATTTACCAAGCTGTTGGTAGTTGCCTTTTGCATGGCCAATTCATACTGAGCATGCTAGACATTCTGGTACTGGAAAGTCCTACTGCTGATAGCAGCCCAACTCGGTAGATAGCAACAGCCTTTTCAGTCTTCAAACTCTTAATTCAGATTATACTTGAACTCTGAAAAATAGGCAGCAGTGCATATACTGTATGTGAATGTGAATTTGTTTTTACCACTTCACTGGGGAAGGCACCCAGAAAGTCACAGAATGAAAACAAACTACTGCTGGATTCAAAAGAGACCGAAGTCTTGTAACCCACTGAAAGAACTAACCCAACTATGTAAACAAATGGTCAAATTCTCTCAGACCTAGCACAAACTCGTTTGGCCGACCTCCCTGTTATAAATAACAGTGTGTGGGCTATGGGGTACTGGTACTATTAAGGGGTAAGGGTAGTTAGAAGACAAGAGTATCAAATATGGGAGAGCTAAAAGGCCCGGCCCCCAAAATAAACTATCCACAGTAGTAATAACTTGCTACTAGACCATATATGTTAGTCTAAGGGTTGATCAATGCGCTCCCACATAGGAAAAAGGGATACTCTGTAATTCATGTACTTATTTATTAACCCCTTAACAACCCCCACTCACACTCACACCAATAACAATAATAATAATAACTTTACCACACTATCTTACGTTAAAAGCCTTGGTCCACGTAGGCAGGATACAAGGTTTACACTAAACAAGCTAGGGTAAAGTACTACTGGATAAGCACTGAAGCTGGATGCAGCTTAGGGTAGTGAGACCATGTGGTACCGTAATACAAAACACAACACTTAGGGGTACCCAAAACACTGGCAAATACTAACCCCAGGTCTCACCAATATTTACTACCAGAGTAGGCACACTTAACACCTTATTATACTTAACTTAAGGGTACAGGAACTTCAGGTAAGGGAAATAAGTAAGAGGAGAAGGGAGAAGAGTAGGGGTGCAGCCACAGAGTAGGTCTTATCCGCACGAACACCAGCCAGAGAAGAGAGAGCTCCTCGCGACCAGCTGGCCTCCCTCATGTCGTGGTGCCGGAAGGAGCCTAATTGATCGTGCAGCTAAGCACATTAAAGATCTTCCCCTATGCAACGTATTGTTGCTCTATGAATGATTAGAAAGTGTTAGTAAGCAAAGTTGGTGCCTATGTTATTATTTAATAATCAACCCCCAGCTCAGTCTTTAAATGCTCTTTGAGAAACAATAATAGTCTTACGTCTGGCAGGGAAGATACAAACAATTGCCGTTCAAGATGCACTTAACTGTACTACTAGAAAGTTTAATAGCTCAATTTTGACCTCTGGTTTCTACTGGAGAACCCAGGGTCGTAACACTCCCCAACTCATATTAGGTAAGGATAGGGGGTGACCCCAGCAGGCTCACAGCCTGCTGGGGTCTGAGCTCCTAGTTCTATCACTGATTTAGTGCATACCAGGTTGCCTCTCTTCCGTGCTAGCTCCAGTGTTCTGCTTAAGTGGTGTGGTGTTTGCCTTTGGTGGCTTTTTCTGTACATTGTATGGTGTGAACTAAGTTTTCAGAGTTCTTGGAGTTGCGTATGATTAGGATTACCTTCCCTGTGTGATATCTAGTGCTGCATTTGCATTGCCAGAGTTTTCTTCTCTGGAGTGTTTGGGAGTCAGCCTTCACAACCATGAAATCCAGATTGGGTTGAGTTACTTTTATGAAACAAGAAAAAGTAAGCGATGAATGTAATGAGATGCCAATTTCTGGGTGAGCCTCTGGTGGCTCACCCAAAGTTTTAGGTCTTGAGGGTTTAGTGAAAGACTTGTATAAGGACAAGAATCAATTGGAAACAAATTGCAAAGCCATGGAAGAGGAGAATAAACGCTTAAAAATAGTTTTGGAAGAAGTTAAAACAAATTTAAACATAAATTACTACAATAAGTTAGGTAAGGAAATCCAACAGGAAAAACAGCTTTTGTCAGTACAGATGGAGGAAGTTACACAGGGAATAAAACAGTGCAAGAAGGATGTGCAACTCACCTATGCACAAGTGGTTAAGGAGAAAAAATGAATAGAAGAAGCAGTAAAGGAAGCCAAACACTGCAGCAACCAGGATAAAACTAACATTAGGCTGAAAGTCAGAAAGGAATTGGTATCATATCCTAAATTGGTGCAAAACACAGCCGATCAAAGTAAATTCCTGATAATTTTTGGTTGCAAAGAAAAGGAGATAACATCTAGGTCAGAAAGAGCTGTAGAAGAAGGAAAAGTAGTAGATAAAATTGTTGTGGTTGTGGAAGGTCTTACTACCATAGAGAATGTGTGCGACTATAGGAGGATTGGCAGGTACGTAATAGGGAAAGATCGACCTTTCAGGATACTCTAAATGGTGCCAAACAGATGGAAAAATTACTATGGAATGTTAGGAAATTACAAAGTGATGAGGAAGGGAAATTATGGTCATTAAGACAAGATCTTTCAAAAGAAGATAGAATGAAGCTGAAACTGAACCTCGTAGAGGCAAAAACGTCTAAATGAGAGCAGGAACGAAGAAGAAATCAATTCTTTTTTCTACAAAGTGATAGGGGTAGGTAGGCCAGGGTAGGTAGGCCAGTAAAATGGTACAAAAAGGCAAACCAACAAAATCGATAGAGAAAGGGGTAGCGAAGAATAAGGAGAGAGGGAACATGTTCCTGAAAATTGTATACACCAACATAGATGGAGTGAGAGCAAAGATACAGGAGTTAAGTGATGTAATACAGCTGCAGACACCAGATATTGTTGCACTCATGGAGACGAAACTTGAAGATGATA